CCCGGGCGGCCGGTGCCGGCGCCCGCGGCCTCGTCCGCCGGCAGGGCAGGATGGAGCCGTGCAGCGGTGGTTATCTGGGGAGGAAACGGCTCCTGTGCTTGAGGAGGGGGGGAAAAAACGTTCTACCCAGGCAAACGACATGGCGTAAGAGGTCTCGCTGGCGGAAGTGGGTCTCTGAGCAGTTGGCCGGTTGGTGGCTCTGGTTGGGATGGAGATCATCTCCTGGCCGTGGTGGTGTCAGGGCTGAGTTCACAGTGTTGCAGGTCCTGCAGGCGAGCTTTAGGGAACCCAAAACGTGCAGGTGAGGCTGGGCCTGAGCTCTGGAAGGGGGGCGGCCACCAAATGGGGCAAGAAGATGGTGAGAAGCAGATCTGAGAGGCCTGACGCGGCAAGGTGATGGCTTTGCCGGGTGGCTGCCCCTTGCTGCAGGGCATCCCCACGGGAAAGCGTGTGTCCAGGAGAGCGGCTGGCACAGCGGAGTGACCCAGAGCTGCCTCCCCACCCATTTTTTTTGCTTTGTATCTTGCTCTTCTAGAACATTTTTATTCAGTGTGGAACGTTTCCACGGCCACGGTTTATGAAACACCTACGTGCGGCAGCAGTTTTGCATTTCAGCTACTTAGTGAATTATCTGCTCGTGGCCATATGCGGTAAACATCATCTCGGATCCAAAGTCTGATTCACCTGCCAGGTACATTTGGGAATGGCAGTGTTTGTCCATCTGTAGACATCCAGAAACGATTCCCCAGTCCAGGATGCAAAGTGTGATGAGCGCTCCAGCAGCGCCAGCCGCCTTCTGGCACAGCCCACCCAGCAGAGCCTGCATCTCTTGCCCCTGCGGCAGTGTCCTCAGCTGGACAGGAATAAATTAAACACAGAGAACTTAGGGATGCACATCCTAAAAGGCTCAGAAAGCAATCAGGGCTTCACTCGCTGGCTGGCTTGCAGGAGCTGGCTCTATGTCCCTTGCTCGGTCACAAAGTCCCTGGTGACGCCGAGCAAACTCCAGTGCTCTTCGGCACCTCGGAGGGCTGCATGTTGCAGCCCTGGCTGGTGATCCTCTGACTATGAGAGGCCTGCGATGAGGGGGTGGCGGCGACGCAGGTGATTTGGGAGATTTGTGTCTTGGCACCGGCTCTAAAAATACCGACGCTGTGTTTGCAAGGTGGGGGAGTGGAAATGTGCCCTTGGGAGGTGCAGCTGGACTGTTTCAGTGCTAGGCTGAGACTTCAGCAGCTCTGGAGTAACCAAGCAAGCAGTATCTTTGATAAAAAGAGGAAAGATGTTAAATCTTGTTGAGGTGTTTGCCATGGAGATCTGCAGGCCATGTTGCTATGCTACCAGGTAACGGGGCTGTGCTGGGGCTCGCTCCTGGGTTCCCAGCAGAGATCACCATGCTTGGTGCACAGCTGCAGGCTGTGAACAGTACGCTGGACCAGGAGCTGGGATGCAGCCACTGCTGTCACACCTGCATGATCTTAGACAAGCAGAGTCAGCAAGTGATGACACTGCTTCCTCTGGCCCCTTGCTAACAGGACATCAGTTGGTGTTTCTTGTGATGGCATCTCCATCCTTGGAGATGCTCAAGGCCCACTGGATGGCCTGAGCCACGACTCTAAAAGAGGCTGCTTGAACAGGGGGGTTGGACTAGATGATGTCCAGAGGTTCCTTCTGACCTTGGCCCATCTGCGGTTCTGTGAGAAACCCCTTGGTCTCAGCAGCTTGTCAAAAAGTACTGCAGATTGGTTGGTGTCTTCATCCCTGCGTTCCTCTAGCACGCATGCCAGTGTATTAACACAAGCAGGCGAGCAATGGAAGTAGCCCCAAAGACGCTTGCTGTGCATCGTCCTCGTGCAACCATGGACGTGAAGCTGAGCCCTTGGTGTCCCAGAGCTCAGGCCTGGGGCAGGTGGAGGAGGAAGGAGCAGGAGCCCCACCAGGCACAAGCCTGCCTGGTCCTCTTCTGCAAGGAGGTGATAGCCCTCTGTTAAGCTGGCTTCTCTTCTCTGACTGTATGTCTTCCATCTCTGCTGGACCCAGACAGCCCACTCTTACAATCTTCCCCACGCAACAGGGATAATATCAAATGAGCATTAGGACATGATGGCGTCTGGAACATCTCATTGATTTTTAACTAAAGAAAATGTTGGCTTAAGAATTCACTGGCTGTTCTGTGCAGCATCTGTGCTGTTTTATGGGCTGCACATAACCAGCAGGCATTTGCTCTGTTAGGAAGGCGAAGAGAGCATTGCTCTGAACTGTGCAACGCGCCATGCAATGCAACACACCTTGCAATGCAGCATGAGCCCGTGGCAACTCAGCTGGGACACCAGTGCATGGTCCTATCCTCTGCCCATCTTAGCTCTTTGGCTGTGTGCTGCTCTTCACCAAAGGCGCATCTCAGCACGGAGCGATTTATAGAGATCAGCTACCTTTAAGCTTTGCTGTTTAAACCTTGCAAAGACCAGACTCCCGTGTCCAGAGCGGCGGTGCTGTGTTTGGGATGATGGGCTTCCGGTTGGTCAACAGGAGCCTTGTTTGCAGCTCGGCGGATGTTTTGCCAGACTCCCCTTCTGCTTCGCCCTTGGGAGGACTGTCAGCAGCTAATGCGAACTCTCTGTAGCAGATGGAAGCGGAGCAAACAAATGCTCACGAGCGAGCAGAGCATCCGAGCAGCAGCCCCTTGCACGGCGCGTCTCTTTATAAAGGCTCAGGTGGCGTTTGTGTGCGGAGCAAGGAGAAACTTTGTCCTTCTGAGTTGTTTTTCACTCTGCTCCTGACTCTGGTTGGCGTAGAGGGTTGGCAGCCTGAAGGAGAGGAGAAAGAAGAGTGGGAATGGGGTGGAAGTGGGCAAGGGGCTGGGAGCGGGGCTGGCCGCGTCCTGCCACTGCAGGAAGAGCTCCCCGGCTGGGGACGCTTAGCCCCAGGGTGCCCTTGGCACCAAAGCAGGGCTCTTCCTGGCTGCCTGCGCTTGGGATCAGCTCCCAGACGTCTGGGCCTGAGGACCAGAGGTCTTGTCTGATGTAGCCCAGCCTCTAATGCAGGCCAGAGCATCTCACCAGGCAGGTCCTCGAAGGCAGGGGCTGTTCTGGAGCATGTTTTATCCTGCCCTTCTTCCCTGTCGCTGTGTCCCCGCGTGGTGGCAGGGGAGAGGCCCTGGGCTCCGGCCCGGGTCCCTGCTGAAATGGTGCTTCCTGGGGCAACGTTCCCTCTCGTCTCCCATCAGGCACTTGCGTTGATGAGCGGAGAAGAGGCAAGGAAAAGCTGTTTCTAAGTGAAATCTCCATGGAAATCCAAACACTGAGCCCGTTTCCACTTGCCTGTAACCTCTTTTTTGAACTTTGTGAAGGGAGTGAAATATGTTTTAGGTTTTGTTGTTTCTCCCGTTGTCTGACTCTTCCCCCGCCGCGTGTGCGTGCTCCTTTCCCCGTGCCCCGCTGCAGACCGCAAGCGTGCGAGATGGAGGGGAAGGCGCTGGCTGGGTCGCAGCAGCAGCGCGACGGCGGGAGAGCTGCCGAATCCTCGGCGCCGCGTGGAGC